AATCTCTCTCTCTCTCTCTCTCTCTCTCTCTCTCTCTCTCTCTCTCACTTGTTATATATGTTTAATATTTACAAAAATTTGAAACTATATTTATAAAAATTTACTCTTTTATTTGACGCGTTAAAAAAATAATATATTTATATATGAATATTCAGATTTAGTACTGTGTGTACAGCAGTGATGAACATTATATTAAAAAAAAAGATGTCAATAATAAAAATATTTTATCGTTTCTATCCTAAAGTTATTGCAAATAAGAGTAAATTAAAAAAGTCTATCTTTTTTAAAAAAAAAACTTAAAATACTATAAATATGATATATGTTATTTGCTTAACATTACATCTAACATCTTATTATTATTCATTGACGACACAAATTATGCAATAAAAAAATTAATTAATTAAACAAAATTTAAGTAATAATAATTCAAATATAAAAAAATATATGTACAGTATGACATTTATCTAACATGGTTTATTTTTAGACATAAAATAAATTTATTTAGCATTAATATATTTTTTGAAAAGTCACCAATGGCTTGTAGCACATGTGATGTCATAAATTTTCAAATGTCATCCAGATAGTGCAAAAATAACTATAAATAAATACCTATAAATAGATAGATAAATATATATAAACGCGTGTATAGATTTATAAAGTTGGTTGACATTTATCCCGGGCATTTTTAATAAAGGAGCTTAATATTTTATAATATATATATATATATATATATTATTAAAAAAATACTTTTGCAAATATTTTGATAAAAATACAGTTACAAGTTATAACTTAATAATAATAATAATAATGCATTATCCTTGTATTTTGATTGAATAAATCATATAATAGAGCAAATTTGAAAATCATAAAAAAACCTTATATGTGAAATATCAATTATCACTTTTGGGAATAAAACTTTTCAAATATAAACTCACTTTTTAATATAAACATCATTGAAAATAATTATTTTTAACTATTAGAATAATTTTTAAAAATTATTTTCATTTTATAAAGTTAACATAAACACACAAAGCGAGTGAGTGAGTGAGAGAGAGAGAGAGAGAGAGAGAGAGAGAGAGAGAGCGAAAGAGAGAGAGAATATAAATTAGATATTAGACACTAGTGTTAAACATGAAATGTTAATTAAAATAATGCCAACAAATTTTTAATTATAATGAACCTGTAGTGACATTTAAAAAATTTATTTACAACTGCGGATATAATATGGTTATATTTAAAATATTGCAATTATCATTGTAACTGTATTTTCTGTATAAATAAACTCATGGTATTCAATGTCGCATAATATCATACATTTATATTTATTGAAACCTATTTTATATCCATAAACTTAAAAACATGTGTAATAATTTGCTTCGTTAATCATTTTGTTTTTTTTGTGTATTTACTTAATATAGTTTTAGTTTGACAGTAATTATTAAAAATATTACTTATAAAATAATTATTTTATATACTAAACTGTATGTTAAAATATTATACTGTAACATATACATGTACTGTACATTATTATTACAGTATTATTATTATTAAAAATTATAAATTTATAACTCTGAGAGAAATTATTTTATAAATTTATTCGTGTATTTAATAAGTGTTTTGATATTCTCCAGAGATTTAGAAAATATATATTTAATTGTTTAGTTTTAAGAAAAAATAATAATAATACTAACGCAAAATTTATCGCTTTATATACCATATTGCGTCAAATTGAAGCAAAACTTAAGTTTAATTCAATTTATATATTTTCAAAAACATCTCTCTCTCTCTCTCTCTCTCTCTCTCTCGTATTTGTGAAGTGATCTCTCAATATATATATATATATATAAGCACTTCAAGGATTCAAATTTAATTAATTGTGTATAAAGTTTATTGATTGTGAAAAAATTGTAAGAAAACGGGGATAAACAAAGAGCTATGCTTTCAATTGAGTTATCAATTTCATACACAAACAATATATATATATATAGAGTATAATATAGAGAAGTATAAACAAGTATATCTAATTTCATTTAATAAAAAAAACTACAGTTTTCTTAATAAATATCAATATAGTTTTACAAAATAAAAAATAAATAAATTTATAATTTGATTATCAGTAATAAAGTAATGAACAATATAAAAATAATAATAAATTATTGATATTTATTTTCTAATGTATTAATAAAAAAAATATAGACAATAATAACTATTTTGTCTAATTAAAAAGTTAACTTAATGACTATAATTTATTTGTAGACATTATAAATTACATTGATAGCATTTTTATTGTTGTTGATTATATTTAATTATCTAAATTAAAATAAATATTTTATTATTTTAGATTATTCCGTATAGTATACATCACTTTATAAAATATTTATATCAATTAATGATAAATTGATAAATAAATATAAGATATATATATATAAAGAGATAGTGAGGTCAACTGAAATAATGATTGTTATTTCATAACTAAAAACACATAATATTACAGTATATTATTATTATTATCGTCTATACTGTACATTATGATTGTGTGCAAAAGTATTAGTTTTCTATGTATTTTGTATTTAATTTTATTTAATTTCCGTTTGCCTAACGCGATGTCATAAATCCAAATAACAAATACACTAATAGGGAAACCTGTTGACTAAACATACAAACATTATATACAAATATAGCGTTTTATAAGTTGGCTTATCTATATATCTCTCTCACTCACACACACTCTCAAAAAAATAAAAGCAAAAAAAAACTGGTTGTCTGTGGGTATGACTGGTTGTTGTCTTTATAATCAATGGTCTCGACTGTTGTGTGTGTGTGTAAGCGTCGAGCCGTCTGTTCACTTGGTTTTTTGTTGGTGAACCCAACAACCTCTTCAATCTCTACTATCTATTCATCAAAAAACACATATCTATGGTATAACTAATGGTTTTCTCACTCGTAAAAATGGCTTTTGTTTTTACCGACAAAAAACATATCATTATTTATTAAACAGTAATTTTTTCGTGAACACAATATACCTAAAAAAACAAACTGAAATTTATAAATAAAAATATATTGGCAGAGAAAGAAAAATGTATATACTGTATATATATAATTCAAATATACAAAAATAAAATTATTTTTGTTGTATATTTATCTCACAAAAAGCACTGTACCAATGAAATTATACAAATAAAACAAAAAATGGATAAACTTTTGTTGAATTCATACAACAAACAAAACTCATTTTTACATTAATAAGTTATACCTGTATTTACAATACACAAACATAAATATATAGTTATAAACAGTACATAAACCATATACATCTACAGTATATACATTTATTATGAATTCATCATCAAATTGTATATAATTTTTTTTTGGTATTAGATATTTTGTTTATTGTATTCAACAAATATTGTCTAATGTTTGACATGTTTATATGTGTGTATATATATTGCATAACATTTGACATTTTCACTGTCATATTAATGATTAAATAAATATAAAAAATATTATACATTATAAATCATTTAATTGTTTAGTCGTTTACGTTGGGCTGGAGTTTAATAAATTACAATAAAAAACAAATAATAACAAAATAACAGTGTATTAACAAATATTTATATATATATATTATATAATATAATGTACTGTTTTATTAAATTTTATAAATTGAATGTCCATGTAATTGTTTTTAAAAATATATAAACAATATTTATTATACAATGTATTTCGATAAAACCTTTTTTAATTGTACCCAATTGTATGATAAAATAACTTTAAAATGGTATAAATTTATAAATTTAATATTAATTTAAAACTCATCGATACAATGTAGTGCTAAAAACTGCAGTATAATAGTTGTTTAGTTTGATTTTTATCATATATTTTATGTCAGCATTTCCTAGAAATTACACTTTAAAAAAACTTATGTTGTTGAAGTAATAATCAATAAATAAAAAATAAAAACCATTATTTAAAGTAAAAATCTAATACTAAAAAAAAACTTTGACTAAATCAACAATTCATAAAAACGTGAATTTTTAAGAAAAAATATCGTTTTTAAAAAACAAAACTAATCACACAAAAGATTATATATATCTATATATAAAAATAAGTTAAGCTAAACAAACAAAAACTAAAAGTAAGTGATTTTTCGTCGGAAGACACTATCATTTGCATTGTTATATGATTTTATTTGCAAATAAACTAAAAATATATCTATTGTTTTAAATGATATACAAAAATAATATGCATTTGTACTCTATGTAAATAATATGATATAAGTATTATACAGTATCTATGATGTAGACCAACAAAACATACATTACTTCATTTATCTCTCCACTATCTGTCACTCTTTATTGCCGTCAAAATAAAGTTTAATTTGATGTCTAAATGTTAAAGACATTTGTAACAAAATAAAACAGAAAAAGTGAGTGAATGAGAGAGAGAGAGAGAGAGAGAGAGAGAGAGAGAGAGAGAGATCGCAATAATGATAACATGTTTGCAGAGAAAATCATTTAAAAAGACAAAACAAATCCTCTTTTATTMTCTCTCTCTCTCTCTCTCTCTCTCTCTCTCTCTCTCTCTCTCTTAGAAGTCAAAAAAAGTTATTTTAAGATTTTTTAAAGATAAATAGTACAATTTATTTTTTTATATTATTATTATTGAAGTAAAAAACAAAAATAAGAAAAAATTAACAAAATGGGTGGAAAACCACCCAAAATGATGATTCACATACATGTACTGTATATTATTAAACACACAGCGATTGAACTAATTTATAGAGAGATATGACATGTATTTCAAATATAAAACTGTATGTAAATTATATACATAGCTTAGGGGTAATATAACCATCAAAAAAAATTAAGTGGAAAAAGATGTATAATCCATAATATTATGGATTTTATATTATGAATTCAATATATTATATTTATATTATATAGTAAATAGCAAACTTAAAATATATAATAATAATAATAATAATAACAATCACGACTCACCACTTGCTGATAATCGTGAGGCACTTCATGAGCAGCAATACTCCAACGGCGCTCATCGGGTGTGCCATAATTGGTACCGTTGGTCGTATCCATTAGCGGCGCTTCCGATGCGCTACTACTGTGCCGCCGCAACATCATTGCCCGCCGATAGGCCGCACTAGTGTTTACCGATTGATGGGACATAAGATTATCGCTTCGGGACAATCTATTTAATTGATGGGAAAGGAGGAGAAAGAAAGAGAGAGAGAGAGAGATAGACATGTATTAGTTGTAGTAATATTTGACATCAATTGGTTATAGCAACGGTGTTATTGAGCTGTTAATTATTATTATGTTTTTTTTCACTATCTCTATCATATATAAAGGCGAAAGTTATCATTTATAAGAGTCAATCCCTTATACTGTATATACAGTATATATTTATTAATAGCATTTAATTATACTGTAAACTGTCTAACAATATATGATATATTGAAAGTAATTTAATGGTAGAACCCTTTAACTTGAAGTAAATATTAATAATAATAATAATATTATTATTATTACTATTATTAAAATTATTATCATAAAGTGATAACTTTCTCATAAGATAATGAGATTGCAGACATCACTCCCGATATTTAAGTAACTTTAATCATATGTTTCATAATAATTAACATATTATGCATTTATTTAATGTATGTAATTTTTTGGCGAGACCTCCCATAAGTAAGTTAATACATGACTATAATAAGCACCTGTTCCACTACTATACACTTATTAAAATTAAAATAATGTTTTTTTTCAGTAAAATTAAGTATGGTAAAATAGTTATTTTTGCAAAATAAAAATAATTTAATTAATTTTAATACATAAGTAAACAAAACGTTTTTTAAAAAAATAAATATAAACAATTATGATAAATTATATAAACAAATATAGTTCACAAAAAATCACTCATTAACTAAAGAAAATTATGTAATAATAAAATCAAAAGTATCGTTCAATATATTAAATAATAGATTAGATCTATCCATACAATTACAATCATTAATAGATATTTTAACTATTTTTTTAACTTTATTGTATTTATTGGGTTCATTTGTTAAATGTCAACTTCAATGTAATAATCATTATAATGTACTATAAATTACAATATATACTGTATATACTGTACTGTACTTTATTAAATAGCTCCCGACTTATTGATTCACTCATAAAAATACTATTACTTTTTAAAACAGAATATTTAATAAAAAATGAAAAAATTAACAAGATTGTTTTAATATTTAAATTTAACTAGTTTATTATTATTTTTTTAATTTCAATAATATTTAAATGTTAATAATAATGAAAATTATTACAACTTTTTTTTTAAATCTAAATGTTGTAAAATATTGATAATAATTGTAAAAATATATAAATTAAATATAAATATAATTTCATTTCTGTTAATTTAAAGTCTAAAATAAATTTAAATAATTATTCAACAGTTTATAAAATTTACAACTAATATCAGAAAAAATAAATATTTGGTTTTAAATATATTTATTTTTTGAAAATATGTACTATTTTTTATAATAATTACAACTATAAAAGCAATTACTAAAATTTCAATTACTTACTCAAATAGATTGCATATCATTGATAGACCACAAGACATTACAATTTATTAAAAAAATAAAAGTTTTTTTCAACATTTAAACAACAATTTTTATAACAATTTAGATATAATTTTTAAAAATAATCCTAATAAAACATATAACAACACACAGACACACAATTATTATTATTTTCTATTTTAATAATAATTATAATATTCAAGACAAATTAATTTTTAACAAAATATAATATTTTAAACAATATTTATTTTCTAATTACACTATATTACACATACAAAATACAAACACTAATAGCACTCAAACACTTTCAAATTATATAAAAAACATATTATTAAATGCAAAAATTATTAATAATTGAAATGCTTTTCATATGCTAATACACTACAAATATGATATATAACACTAATATACGACAATATAATGAAAGACAAGAGACTTGAGCGAAGAAAATAATGGCAATAAAAATATGAACGAAAACTGTTGTCTATTTGTTTGAAATGATAATATAATAAAAACATAAATAAGGATTTTTTATATGTCATATAATACTATATATATATTGATTTTAAGCACTAATATGAGTGTATAAATAACATCAAAATAAGACTAACAGATAAACAATAGTTACCGAGTTTTATGAGATAAATATATATATTATAATATTATATATATATATATATTTAATTCAAAAAACAATATATTTAGATCAGAAAAGTAAAACACTTGAAAACTTTGTATATAAATATAATATAATATTTTACTAATATATTGAATACAAGTGTTAAATATTCAGAGCAAAATACAGTATAAAACATAAGTCTGGAATATATACTAATATAATGTAATAAAAATCAATAGTCTATTTTTGAGATAACCTTTCTTATAACAACAACAATAATAATAAAATAATACAATAATACTAATGATATTATATACAGGTATATTATATATATATATATATATATATATATAACTACAAATATATAGACATATTGTATGCATTAAATACATTAATTTCAATGTTACTCAATTATATAGAGTAAAAAATAATTTTATATAAAACATTAATACTCCAGTAGGAAAAATATAATTTTAATTAAATAAATTTTTTTGTCGTTTTTCATTTATTTTTTGCATCAATTTTAGAAAAAAAATAAAATATCATTACAATTCATGTACAATATAATACACTATATAATTTCGTGTAATATAATACAAAAACGTTTTTGTTAATCATTTATTCATATAATTTTGTTGTTAATGTAATATAATCTAAAAAAATGTAATTGTAAAATCATAATTGCAGTTTTATTTTGATTATTGTCCTTGGATGTTTTTATTATTAAGATTATTGATTCATTAAGATTTATCAAAACATTATCTATTTTTGCAATAAATTTAATGTTACATCTATAGATGCCTATAGATAAATACCACAAATAAAAAAATTTATTGATATTAGAAATTATATGAAACCATGAAAATATCGATAATCCAATAGTATCGATATATATATATATATATATATATATATTAATAAGTATTGAATATACTATAATATATAATAGTATATAAAAAATGCTAAATAATAATAAGTATTCCTAATCTAACTTATTTGAGATCAAAATATAACAATTTCTAAAAAACAGACATTCAGACAGATTAACATAAAAAATTAACTTCAAATACGTACTGCTTTTCACAAAATTTGTAATAATAATAATTAAATTATCAAATTTGTCGCTTTTTAGTAAACAAAATAATTATAGATATATTGTAATCATTAGAATTAATTATAAAAATATTATCAATTTTTAATCATTTTAATCACGCATCACATGTCTATGACAAAAATGTCACAAACATTTTTCAATAATTTAGTATTAAAGTTAATTGTGTTAAAATTTTATAACTCTAAAATTAACACAATAATTATAATAATAATAAAATAACAATAAAAAAATTAATATAAAATTTATCTAAAATAATTAAATATTGACAGTTAGTAACTATTTTTTTGCCAATCATTTCATTTAGATTTTCAATAAATAATTTGTAAATATATTTTTAAAAAGTATGGATAAAATACTGTTATACTTTATATAAACTTTACAACAATATAAAGGTCTATCACAAGTGACGGCTCGATAAATGCCTTAAGCGATGATAATATGAATCATTCGTTATATTATATGAAGAAAAAGAGATCTCAATTTAAAATCGACTCATTCACTACATTTCATTTGATAAAATGGTAAATCTGGTATAAAATCAATGATTTAATATGATTTTGACATTATAATTGCAAAATATTTTTTTAAAAATATAAACTATAAATAGTAATTTATTTTCAAATATATACGTATATATGTATAAAATCATGACTGATAAATGAGTAATAATTTTTAAGATATCAACAACATATTGATCCCAACAAAATTCATTAAATAAATTGTTTGTTTACTAAATTAAACAAATTATTGGCAAAATAAGACAAATTAGTAATAAAATATTTACCGCTGATGACTGGCAAATCCTGAATTGTTGAGCTCATTGCCGCTGTCATCGCTCTGTATTTCATCGGTAAGACCTCCTACTCCAGCGACGCCTCTGTTTTGCGGAATCGGTAAATACCTTCCAATGGATTTGTCGGCTAAATGATTGACAACAACGCCGTTCTCGTCGTTTACCACTTCGTTGTGAGTGATTGGGCCGTCGGTCGGGTCAACATCTGGACAGTCAAACGAACCGTCACTGGAGTCCTGTTGTCTTATTTGCTTGAATTTGATCGCTTCCGGCGTAGTCTTACTCTTAAGCATTGCCTGTTCTTCCCTTTTATAAATTAATTCATCAAATTTGTCCAAATCGTCGTCTCGGATGATATTGCGAATCCGATTCATTAGCGAATACTAAATGTAATAATAATTTTTAAAAATATGTCTTTTAATTAATATAAATAATAAACATTTATTTAAACAACTTAATTGTGTTATTTATTTTAATTATACTGTAATATATTGCAATAATGTTAATTTAATTAAGGCCTAATTAACCATTATAGCAATAATTAGAAAACTATACATTATATGGTAGAATAACATTTATGTAAATTATTATTTGTTAAAATTTTTCGTAAATATTTCGTAATTTTAATAAATATTCAGAATCTAACTTTATATCTAAAATCAATTTAGTATAAATATATATATATATATTTGTAGTTTACTGTATTATTATAATAAAATATTATTATGTAACAAAAAAATATTATTTTAAATCTTAATAATTTATGATTTGATTCAATTTAATATTACAAAAATTTATCTGAAAATTGATAGATAGTTGTAATTATAATATTTTACCATATAATAATAAAAAACAAGCAATCAATATGCATCAAAAAATAGCGTTAAACTAAAACTATTGTTAAAAAAAATTATAATAAAAATTAATATAATTATACATCATTTGTTTGATAATAATATTATTGGAATAAAGTTATTATTAATGATGTTTTGTTTTATAAATTAAATTATATATTTCATATATTTTTACTGTATGTTAGTTCATACAAATAACTTTTTTTAAATGTTAAATATAGTAACATTTATACTATTTGTTATATTATTTGAATATAAAAATTATAAATAATGATTTATTCAATCTATAAAATAAAATGTTCAATCAAGATTTTTTTTATCAAAACATTAATTATATTAAACATTTACTCACAAAATAAAAATTATATACTAATTAAATTAAATATCAACTGTGAAATAAAATCAATAACTACTATACATTAGTTTATTAGATCATACATTGTTTATATTAATCATATCATAAGATAAGAAAATATTAGACAAAATATTTCGTCACATATTTAGTGGAAAAATAAATTTAATTTGTAAACACATAATTAAATTCAATATTCATTTTTCACAATTCATTTTGTAATCAATTATTTAGTGAATTTCATTAACTAATACTGTAATTGTGTGCACAATATTTATAGAGAGAAAGAAAGAGAGAGAGAAAGAGAGAGAGAGAGAGAGAGAGAGAGAGAGAGAGAGAGAGAGAGAGATCAAATTGTGTAAATTGATATAAACTATGATTTCTTTTTACATCAAATGATATCTCGCGAGACATTATGTTTGTAAAGATTTAATGAGAAAAAGGCTTAAATATCTTATAACGTAAATATCTTAAAGAGTAAGTAAATAATGTAATTGTTTTGAGACTATTATTATTGATAGTCATTGAACACAAAATAGACTGTGAAATAAATTATTAATTATTAAAAATTAGTTTTATAAATAGTATGCAAAATTATAAGCTGTTTATAAATTTATAATCCTCTATTATATTTTATATTTGATTTTAAAATTTTATTAAAATTTTTAATAAAAGTTGTCGCTATAATTTTTTTTAATTTAATTCTCTTATATTAAAATTATTATTATAAAATTTAGTTTTATTATTATATACTGTACTCTGTAACATAAATTTGTAAATAAATTATGAATTAAAATAAATCTTAATTTATCAAGAAATTAATATTTAAAAAGTAAACAAAATGATAAAGTATAAATAAAATTTACAATAAAATGTAAATTTATTTAAAAATATTATTTAATTAATGTAATTAGTTTTATATATTACACAAATAATAATAAACTAATGATAAATATGTAGTCTTATCTAATTTAAAGTAGTGTAGAAATGTTGCGCTGAAATCCAATTAATCTTAATTTTTGCGACATTAAAGTCGTTAAAATTATGAACAAATTGAAAGACATTATTACATAATATTGCGAAACATATGCTCTTTCATATATACATTAAACATGTATATAAAGTATATATATATATATATATATATATATATATGAATCAAACATATCATCTGAGAAATGATGACCAAATTGATTGTTTGCGCGATATTTTTGGATCCAAATCAATGTCATTGTAGAGACAAAACACACACATATTAACATCATATGTTTGGTTACATAGTATGGATGTAATACATAGTAAACATACCAAATAATAATCATTATTTTTTTCTTTTCAATATTATTTTTTTGTCAGTCTCAACGACACAGCATTAAATATACAGTATATGACACATAAATACTATGAATAGTGTGTTACGGATTCACATTGTCGTAGTAGTAGTTTATATGAAAATTGTGGCAAAAAAATATCACAATATGATTGATCAGCTTTTTTATCGGAGAGCACATAGTTTTTTTCATCACCCGATAATGTTATGGTTGATTAATATCTAATTGATTAGATATTGCTATAGTGATACTTTACGATATATTTTATAAAATAATAATAATAATAAATAAAAGCATATTGTAGGTATAATTACAGTACCAACCGCAACCATTATATCTTTTTTTAAAATATTTATATTTACCACATTTATTAGCATAGTAAAACGAATTGATCATGCTAATTATTATGTATTGTAATAAAATATATATACAGTATATAATAATGATATAGTTAATAATAAAATTAATGAGTTCAGTTTATAATATCATAAACTGTTTTATTTTTTTGTCATTGTTATTAATGGCATTTTTTGCATAAAAATAATTAAATTCATCATAAAAATGATAAATAAATAAATAATTAATAAATTGTTATTTAGATATTAATAATATACAATGTATAATATTAATAAATGAAATTTAATACACCAATCAATTAAAAAATAGAAAATTAAAATATTAAAACCTAAATATGATTCAAATAATTTGTTTATTATATTATATTAATTAAAGGCATACATTAAAATCACTTAATTGCAAAATTGTAAAAAAATCTAAAATATTTAATTATTATAAAGTCACTTAAATAAATAAATTATTTACTATTAAGTCATGCATATAATAAAGTTTTAATCACAACTATTTCCAACAATAATTTCATTTAATTATATGGTTTAAAAAATATATTTTTACTTTTTCAAATGTAAGGAGATTTTAATTTATAATGATAGTTAATTAATACTTATTTAATTAATATGTTGTTTACTGTCAAATATAAAAAACATTATAAGATATTATGCTTATATCAAATTAAAAGAAATGTTTTGTCCAAATTTTAATTAAATTTACTTAAATATTGCTATTAATCACATCCATTGTCATCTTAAATGTTACTATAATTTAGATTTAATATCACTATTAATACTACTGTTTATAATAATAATAATAAAAACATTGTAATTAAACCATCTATTTAACAAATTTCTAATTATACAGTAAATTATATTTTAAATATAAAATTTTAGTATTTAATTATTCATCTCTTTAATTAATAAATATTTTTACAAATTATAAATTTGTTTTTGTAATTTAGATAATATAACGAATTCATTGGTAAATATTAATTAATTAATTTTTAGCGGAAATTATTCACTATGAAAACAATTATGTTAAATATATGCATAAACTAATACATAAATATATATTATAGTATATCGTAGTAATATATATATATATATATATATATATATATTAATTGGAGTAAAAAAAAGATTTAATTAAACGTATAATCAATTGAGACATTAATTAGAAATAATAAAACCTTTTAGATAAATAAATTATATCTATTCAAACATTAATAATGCAAATAATAGTAAAATTATGGCAAACAATACTTATAGTAAACAACAATATTATATGACCTATAAACGTAAATTGTGTCCACAAAAATAAATAAACTCACAAACACACCACACATTATCTAAATTAAATGTATGAAAAAAATGTATGTATGAAATATTAAAAAAATTATATTTAATAAAATATTTATTGAATGAAAAATTTAATTCTTTAATTTAGTGAATATTGTAATTTATTTTATTATTTCATTTTTTCTTTTAAAAAAAATCTTAATCATTATAAAGAATAAATTAAATTTGTTTTCTCAATTTTATTATTTTGTTATTTTTATACTTGAGATTTTAAATTTCATTGAAAAAAAACTTATACAAATATACAGACAAAAAATAAAGTAACAGTTTTTTCTGAACAAAATAAAACAAATTGAGACACAATTCAAGTGTAAAACTTACAGATAAGTCGTTAAATTGATTCATTAGTGTCTCAATTCATTGCTTTTGTTATGTTTGTGTGTATCTCCTAATTGTTAGGATTACTACTGAATATCATTATTAGAGATTTCTTTTCGGTTGACTTTTCAATACACTAACAATCAATTTCAATGATTTTTTTTTATTTCCAGTGAAACAAAAATCGATGAATTAATTTTGTAAATATATTTGAAATGAAATCATTAAAATAAACAAAATAAACAAAATAATGCTATAATCTTTAATTTAAATAAATAATAAGTTTAAAAATCTAAGTTTTTTATCATTATAATAAATATATATAATTTGTTCATATGATTTTATAATAAATGCATTTTATTTATGACAAATAATAATTATATATTGATTTTAATATAAAAATTTAATATTATATACAGTATATATAATATATATATAGTAAACAATGTAATGTATTATGTATAATTTATCAAGTTAACTGGTGATGAGTGGCAAAATTAAATAATGTCAAAAATTTTGCTTAATTTCATAATCTTATTTATGCACAAACAAAAATGCTAATATCATAATAATACTGTAATAATAATAATAATAAATCATAGTTTAGTTAGATTTATAAACTAATCTAATTTAGTCTATAAAACAACAGTCCTGTTATCTAACAAAAAAATTAACACCACTTTCATATAAAATAACAGAATATTCTATGCAATATATTTATCGTAAAAAATAAATCCTTAAATTAACGTCAAATTATTTGGTTTTTCATATTTTTGTTATAAATAATTTAAGAATAAAAAAAATTATATATTTATTTAA